ATTTAAAAAAAAAAAAAAAAGATAACGCATGGTAATGATGTGTCAGTGTAGCTTCCTCGATCGTAATATACATGTACCTCTCTGGTGAGGGATGTTAATAGCAGAGGAGGCTGTGGGGAGGTGGGCAGAGATACATAGGAATCTCTATACTTTCTGCTCAATATTGCTGTGAACCTAAAACTGCTCTAAAAAATAAAGTCTATTTTTACAAGAGATAATGCATGTGACAAGCCTCGCACAGTTCCTATTACAGATCAACGTTCATTCTCTTCTTTCATAAAAGCCCTGCCTCTCTCAGAATCCACCCTCCACAAGCAGCCTGTGACAGACTTTTCACACAAAAATGGGTTTTTGAAGGAAATCCATGCTAGAAAATAAACTTGGAGGAGAAAGAATCTCGTCAAGCCACATTCTTAGGCTTTAATCAGATTTATCACCAGCCTGCACCTCCCTGACCCCCACAATCTCCCCACCCCACGTACTCACACCCTCATAGTCATAAAGACAAACCCACAGCAACCTCACATTTGTATGGACTGCAGAGTCCCACGTGCTTAAGCTGACCCACTGCCGTTGCATACTATCAGCCATAGTAATACTTCATGTATACCTTTATGGTTGATGATAACTAACCCGAGAGAGCTACCCTCACCCACAAAGGGCTGCAGTACAGAAGCTCCCAACCAGAGTCAGGGGAGAAGCCCACAGGCACCCTCTTGCCTCCTTACCTGCAGAGCTCCTAGGAGCCCCAGCCACCCAGCAGAAGAAGAAAAGGGGCAGAGCCAGGCCCCAGAGAAAGCCCATCCTAGCTGGGGCTCCAGCCACCATTGCCCAGCAGATCTGCCCACTGCCTCTTGCTGCCACCTTTTCCTGCTTGCTCAACCCGCGGAGCAGGGGCGGGTCACCTGCCTAGGTGTGGCTGGGTAGTTTCCAGGATGCAACCAGGTGATCACAAGTGCACAGGCTGAGAGCTGGCAGGTTGTGTGTCAGGGCTGACAAGGAGCTAACCCTCCTGCCCCCCTTGCCCACTGACACCGCCCTCTCTGAAGTTTGGTTTGAAGATATGGAATCATTTCCACAGTGATATTCATCCCCTGGGTCCTGTAGGCAGGGAGGCCATGGAAGATGGGGTTTCACACACATTTCCCCCTTCCCACAGCCTTTCCCCGCTCCCTCTCCCCTTGTGCATGGGGCTTTGACTTCTAGTTAGAGAAACATGGGTTTTATTCCTAATTCTAAACTTACTAGCTCTATAATCTAGGGCAAATTGAAGAACTTTCTGAACCTCAACCTCCTGATCTGTAAAATGGGCATAATCCTTACCTCACTGGGCTGTTTCATGAGGCTTACATGAGATAAAAAGGCTCTAACAGTGCCTGCTACATACTTGGTGCTTGTTGAAAACATATACATTTTAGGTGCTCAATAAATGGGTGAAGGCCCTGATGTCCACTCAGATCCTCAAGCAACAGAGAGAAGGAACAGCCCCCTGAGGTCTGCAGGAGACAGCTCTCCAGTGTGGAGCAGGACTCTGATCCCTAACATCCTTCCATCTTTACATCCTGTGATCCTGCATCCCAGCCAGAGGCAGGATCAGGTCTTGGGCCAGACTGGAGGTGTGGGGTAGGAAGAGCACAGCTGGGAGAAGGGAAAGTGTAAGTGTGCTGGTCTGAGTCTCCAGGCCTGGGAGGAGGGACACTGAGGGTGATTACTTAGGGAACCTTGGGGATTTGGCCACAAGACGGGGAATGAGGTTGTAGAATGTATTTCCAAATGCCCTAGTGAAGAATCTTATCCCCTCAAAGGGCCAAGGACATAAGCTGTTATGGCCACAGCCAGTGGCCAGACAAGGTATCTTGGGGATTTCAGGGCAAGAGTTTTGTGATGAAAGCAGCTCCAGAGTAAAGGAAAGCTTGCTGAACAGGTGTCAAAAAAATCACAAAATCTCACAGCTGGAAGGAAATTTAAAGTGGAATCAGAAGGTCTAGGTTTGGGACTTCCCTGGTGGTACAGTAGTTAAGAATCCGCCTGCCAATGCAGGGAGCACAGGTTCGAGCCCTGGTACGGGAAGATCCCACATGCCGCGTAGCAACTAAGCCCGTGTGCCACAACTACTGAGCCTGCGCTCTAGAGCCCGCGAGCCAGGGCTACTGAGCCCTCATGCCACAACTACTGAAGCCCGCGCACCTAGAGCCTGTGCTCCGCAACAAGAGAAGCCACTGCAGTGAGAAGCCCGTGCACCACAACGAAGAGTAGCCCCAGCTCACTGCAAATAGAGAAAGCCCGCGTACAGCAACGAAGACCCAACGAAGCCAAAAATAAATAAATTAAAAAAAAAAAAAAGGTCTAGGTTCTGTTTCCAGCTCCTTCCTTGGTAGTGGCCCAAGAGCTCTGTGTGATCTTGGACAAGTTATTTGCCTTCTCTGGGCCTCTGTCAATAAGACCTCTGAGGTCCTCTTGGCCATGAAGTCTGAGGTTCTGCATTTGGTGTGAGCCACTGTCTTCTAGAACTTCACCCTCCATTGGGATAAAGGGCTCTATGGCCTGGAAGGAGAAGGGAGTCATTCTAGGGCACGGGGGTGGGATGAGGGGAGGAAGACTCTATGAGAGGAGACTGAGGGGTCCGTCTGGGACACAGCCCAGTACTTGGGGTCAGGAATCTTGGACCCCAGTTCCAACCACACTGTTAATCCGTATAGTACTCCTGCCAGGCTGAGCCCTTCCACCCTCCCATTCAACCTCAGTCCTTCACTTTATAGAATGGGAGAATGGATTTCCCCTTGGGGGGTGGGTAGGTGGAGAGAGGAGGCCCCAGGGCCATAGCAGTGACCTGAATTCTGTTTGACCCGATCTAGTAATGAGTGATCTGGTGTGACTCTTCACCCTTGAGAAGACAGAGGAGAAATCCAGAAAGAATGCAAATCCTTTGAGCCGCCTCCCTCCCCTCCTGGCCCACCTGTCTGCCCCACCCTAGAGGGGAAAGGGACTTCCTCATTCTAGCGGCCAGTGGCTTAATCTACAGACCGAGGTACTCCAGGTGCCCTTGCACTCCCACCACAGACTTCCCTTCTCCATTTCCTTTCTCTTTTCATCCTTTAAGTGATCAACAGCTCAGCTCTAGCCCAGTTGTCTACGATGAGAGCTAACCAGGAACCTGCTAGAAGGGAAACCTGGCTGAGTGCTTTCCTGGGTTTTGCTGAATTTTGTCTGGTCCATCTTCTCCTGTATCTGGGGAAATTTCCAAGCCTGGACACATGACTGTTGGCCCTGGGGGCATAATAGTCTTATCCAGAACATTTTGTTCAGCCCAACTCAGCTCTCACCCTGAATGAACATAGGAGGCTAGTTTTATTAATTTAGCAGACATATATGGAGCACCTACTAGATGCCAGATACTGTTCTAGGCACCCAGGATACATCACTGAGTAAAACAGATCCCTGCCCTCATGGAACTAACTTCCCAGTGAAAGGAGACGGCAAACATTAATAAGTGAATGATATAGGGATAAATATTATGGAAAAAAGAAAAAAAAAAAGACAAGTAAGAAGAACCTGGTGTGTGTGGCGTGGAGAGGTGAGGGACAGATTAAAGTATTAAATAGCACCATGGGATCTGAGCAATGACTCCAAGCTGGTGAGAAAGTAGGCCAAGTGGATACGTGGGGAAGAACACTCCAGGCAGCAGAACTGCTAGAGAAAGATCCAGAGACCTAAGGCAGGACCTAGTTCAAGAAGCACAAAAGAGGGCGTGTGGCTGGAGCCACTGTGAGAGGGCAGAGTTGCGGGGCAGGGGAGCAGGGTGATAAGGCATAGGTGACAAAGGGCCTTGCCAGCCTTGGGCGCTGGGTTCTTGGAGTGAGGTGGGAGCAGCCCCTGGGGAGTTTTGAGCGGAGGAGTGATGGGTTCTAACTTGGGTTTTAGAAGGACCACTCTGGCAGCTGTGGGCTGGAATAGAAACTGGAATAGTTGGGAGGCTTTTGCCCTAGTCCAGGTAAGAGAGGAGGGTGACCATAGTGGTACCAGAGGAGGTTGGAGTTGGTCGGATTCTGGATATATTTTGAAAGTAGAGCCAACATGACTTCCTACCAGATCGGTGTGGGCTGTCAAAGGAAGAGAAAAGTCAAGAAAACTACAGACTTCTCAGCCTGAACAAATGGAAGGATGGAGTTGTCACCAGCGCCATTTGGGTCTGTGTTTGTTGGGAGGAAAAACTTTTTCCTCTTCCAACCTGGGTCCAGTGACTGGAGGCCTGCAGCTTAACTAAGAAAAGACAGATGAACAGGAGAAAAGACAGAGTTTGTTTACACATGCACCAGGGAGCTGCTTAGTAATGAGTAACTCACTGAATAACCAGAGACAAAGGTTTCTACACCACACTTAACAAAGGCATGGGGCTTAGGACCTCTGTGGGAAAATATGGAAGGTTCTATTGGCAGTCTGTCTCCATGGCAGCTAAAACTGGCTGGAAAATCCCTTGGAGGGAGATTTATGGCAGCTGTATTTTTAGAAGGCTCTGTTTTAGTCAGATAAGGGAAGTTCAGATAACATTTCTTTCTGCATCTTCTGTAGGTCAAATGTTTCCTCTTTAAAATAATCTTTATACCAACTCTGGGGGTCTGAGTGGGTCCCCACAGATTCAAAATGTGTAGATAAGGAGAGATGGTGGGAATCATTTAAGTTTGCAAAGCCCTGAGAATGGACCCCTCCATACCCTAGCCCCTATTTCCTTGGGTTGTAGCATAGAAACCTCCAGGGAGCCCTCTCTTCTTTCATTTCTTTTATTAGGGTACAACCAACATATAGTTAACTATGTCAACCTCAAGTAGTATACTGCTTGATGAATTTTTACATGTGCTTACACCCAGGATGTATTCACCACTCAGATCAAGATATAGGACACTTTCAGCATCTCAACAGGTTCCCTTGTGTTCACTTCCAGTCAGTATCCCTCCAAGGACCACCATTCCCACCTCTATCACCATAGACTGGTTCTGCCTATTTTTGAACTTCATATAAATGGGATTATGCATATATAATTTCTTATATCTGGCTTTTTTCTCTTAACATTATGCCTGCAAGACTCACCCATTTTGTTGTATATAGTGGCACTTCATTCTTTTTTTATTGTTAGGTAGTATTCCATTGTATAAATATACCACAATTTATTTATCTACTTTCCTAATGATGGACATTTGGATTATTTCTAGTCTTTCACTATTCTGAATAACACTGCTATCAGCATTCTTGTATATGTCTTGGGTATATATATATATATATATATATATCCAGGAGTGGAATTGCTGGGTCATGTGTTTATCTTCAGTATACAGCATCAAAGAGTTTTCCAAATTGATTGTGCCCCCTTATACTATACCAGCAATGTATGAGAGTTCCAGTTGCTCCACATTCTCATCAACACTTGGTACCACAGGTTCTTTTAATTTTAGACATTCTTGTGGATTAAAAGAATTACCTGTTAAAACTGTGATTCTAACTTACATTACAGGAAGCCCTCTGCTTTCTCAGGGCTTTGCCCAGGTGGTATGCCGCTGCCAGGGAAATGACTTTCACAGGGAAGATGTTTGAAGGACACAGGGAGGGAGGATGGAGAGCCAGGTAGAAATAAAATTTGCATGCACATGTGCACACACCTGTACACTTGACTAGAGAGGAATCTGTGCCAGTACTGGAACATCTATGGGGACCCTGGTTGGGATGGGGGATAATATAGGAGAGACAAGTGAAGGAGGAGATGGAGTTTCTGGGCATTTGGAAGGAGAATGAGCACTGACCCAAGAAGAGGAAAGAGCCCACAAATCAGCATCTTT